ACCTCCGAAGAAGGTAATTAATCTCTACGCTTCTCTCTCTGCAATTACTCCTTGAGAGCATCTCTCTCTAGAATACTGAGTATTGCTGACTTGAGTGTTGGAGTGTTTTCCCCGAGGAAACAGCCTCGGGATTTTCAGGTGTAGAAGCAGCTGAGGACTTCAACAGTGTTGGATTGCGAAGCTGCCCAAACATTTGGCACCGTCTGTGGGAACTCGAACAAGAAGTTGTGTGACTTAACCTGCTGAAAGACAAAATGATCCGTACTTTTACAGGAGGTTGCCCTCCAAGAAATGAGATGGACGAATAGGAGGACGCCCAAGCATCTGAGCCCGCCTTAGATGATTTTAGGCCAATGCCCAGAAACCTTTTTGTTGGGGGAGCAGAACAGGATCACCTAAGCGAAACAGATGATGATGAAAGAACACCAACTGGGTATGCAACCCAGCCTGAACAGTTCCAGGTTCCAACAGGAACAAGATCAAGACCTTCTAGACTATACAATTCACAGCGTGAACGACCTGAAAGGTCAATAGAACCTACTCGGACTGCCGAGCTCGAAGAGAGAACCAGAGTTCTCGAAATGGCAATGGGCAAAATCCTTGCCCGTCTGATTCCTGATGACCCCCTGATTCCCTTGCTGAACAGGGATGCGCAACCAGCTGCGGTTGTTGCAACTCGAAACTCCCCCGCTCTAAGCAACATGGTGGTGCTGACCAGGCCAAGGGGAAGTGGAAAACTAAATATCGAGCCCAGCTCATCCAAGCACAGCGAAGAACTGTTGAAGAAGAACGCAGACCTTGAAAGGCAGCTACGAGATGTGCAAAAATCTATAGACGAGCTGAAAAGTCCCAGGTCGTATCAGTAAACTCTTGATTTAGATAGCGCCCCGTTGAACCTATCCATCACAGCAGAACCGTATCAAGAGGGATTCAAAATTCCCCATTTAGAAACATATGATGGCTCGGGCGACCCGGATGAACATCTGCACACTTATCAAGCCATCATGAGAATCCAAAACGCCAATGACGCCATGATGTGCAAAGTGTTCCCAGCAACACTTAAGACAACAGGCAGGAGATGGTATCACAAACTCCCCAGACATTCCATAGACTCGTACTCCCAGCTCGCCAAGCTATTCTCCAACAAATTTGCGAGCCAAAGGGAGATTAAACGAACAGCGACTGAACTAATGCAGGTTCATCAAAAAGAGGGAGAGTCTTTGAGGGACTACATGCAACGATTCAACAAAGCTACTTTGGACATTGATAACGTCCCCGATACCATCTGCTTATCTGCCTTGTTGCATGGCCTGAAGCCTGGCCGGTTTTTGGACGACCTGCTGGAGAATCCGCCCAAGTCATGGAATGAAGTAAATGACAGGTCGGCGAGCTTCATATTGTCCGAAGATTTTCAATCTTCTAAGAGACGAGCTGATGACAGGCACGGAAAAGAACCCAAGTAGCCTGAAAACAGAGATGACAATAAGAAACAAAAGGTTGGCGAGCAGAGAGGGAAACCACCCTCTTATCCAAAATATGACAGCTATAAACCCCTGAGCTCATCACGATCCCAGATATTGTCGCAGATACAGCATTGGGTCAAGAGACCCCCTCTACAAACACATGATTCTTCACGAGCTGACAGAAGCAAATACTGCGATTATCACCGTGTTTACGGCCATAACACAGAAGACTGCCAGAGTTTGAAGGACGAGCTTGAATGCTTGGCTCGCAATGGAAAATTGGAGGGGTATGTACAGAAGCCTTTTGTTCGGCAACCCGTCCAGACCCATTTTGTACAAGAGTACGGCCAACCTCAAGCACCTGGGTATCAGCTCAGTAGCAATCCAAATTCTTACCAGACAGGTCCGTACTCATTTGAGCCGAACAGAGCATACAGAGGACGCCCGTTCAATAGGCGTGGGCAAGGACAGAAAGCACCTACGCAGAACCAAAAAGACCACAGAGGAGTCGGGTACGGTGGAATACCCCCGCCATCAGGCACAATCAATATGATCTCTGGTGGTATACATGCAGGAGGTCAAAGTGCCCGAGCCCGCAAGGCGTACGCTCGCCAGGTGATGACAGTAAATAAGAACCGGCCTCTTAAGCGTCCATTTGAGGAGGCAGAGTGGGAGAATACGGCCATAACGTTCAGCTTGTCAGATTACCAGCGAGCAGGAGAACCTGACGTCGTGATGCCTCATGCGGATCCTTTTGTAGCAACAGTCCATATAGGCAACCATAACGTCAACAAGGTTTTCATTGACACTGGGAGCTCGCCTGATATCCTGTATTGGAGCTGCTTTCAAAAGATGCAGCTGAACCCCAGCTCGTTACAAAAATATGAAGGGCCTATCTATGGGTTCGACAATCAACCTGTTCCAGTGGAGGGAGTAATTACACTTCCCATTTACGTGGGCTCAGAACCACGCTTCAGGATGGCTTCAGTCAGCTTCCTGGTCGTCAAAATGGAATCAGCCTTCAATGCCATATTAGGAAGGGCTACTCTGTGCGAACTGAAGGCTGTCATCTCACAACCCCATCTCTGCATGAAATTTCCAACGCCTCAGGGGGTAGGAGTGCTGAAGGGGAATCAGAGGATGGCCAGGACATGTTATCAGGATACGTTCAAGAAGGTTGAGCTCGTTGTAGCCCCTGGAGGATCTAAAAGTAGTAGGCCGACTCAGCAAGGCCAGCAGACAATGAGCATATCAGACATTGAGCATAGACCCGAGGGAGTCGAGCAGAAAGCAGAGCCGGTAGAGCCAATAGAAACCGTTCCTTTAAACCCTGATGTGCCGGAAAGAACAGTCAAGATCGGCACCAAGCTCACAGAAGAAGAGCGAGCAGAGCTTTTGGAGTTTTTGAGGGTCAATCAAGATGTGTTCGCGTGGACTACTGACGAAATGCCTGGCATCCCAGCGGAGCTGACAGTCCACAAACTCAGTACGGACCCCACCAGAAGACCGGTGGTGCAGAAACGTCGCCTCTTTGGCCTAGAGAAACAAGCTGCCATAGACGAGCAGATACAGAAGCTGCTACAAGCAGGCTTCATCAGGAGAGTGGAGTATTCTGAGTGGGTATCTAACCCCGTGCTCGTCAAAAAGTCGAATGGCAGGTGGAGGATGTGTATTGACTTCACCAACCTCAATGACGCATGTCCAAAAGACCCTCACCCCTTGCCAAATGTGGAGAAATTAGTGGAGCGAGCAGCTGGGCATGAACGGATGAGTTTTCTTGACGCCAGCTCGGGCTATCACCAGGTTCAGTTGCTGTTGGACGATCAGGAGAAAACAGCTTTCTACGCTGGTGACGCTATCTATTGCTATGTGATGATGCCATTTGGCCTGAAAAATGCTGGCGCTACATATCAGAAGCTGGTACAAATCATCTTTAAGCTCCAGATCGGCAGAAACATAGAAGTGTATGTGGATGACATGATAATCACTAGCGTGCGAGCTGAAGACCATATAGACGACCTGAGTGAGACCTTTCAAAATTTGCGCCGAGCCCAAATGAAGCTGAACCCTCTGAAGTGCACATTCGCTGTAGAATCAGGAAAATTCCTAGGGTACGTGGTATCCAAGAAAGGAATTGAAGTGAACCCAGAGAAGGTTTTGGTTGTTCAGCAGATGGAGTCACCCAAGACTGTAAAGGACGTGCAACGCTTGACAGGTCGTATAGCCGCTTTGCACAGATTCATAGCCAGGTCGGCGGAAAGGTGCCTACCGTTTTTCAAAGCCTTGCGAGAGCCCAAACACTTTCAATGGACCGACGAGTGCCAACAGGCTTTTGACGAGCTCAAACAGTATCTGGCATCTGCACCCCTGCTGTCTAAACCTGTGGAAGGGGAAAGTTTATACCTATACATGGGAGTTACAGGAGAAGCAGTGAGCTCGGTTTTGCTCAGGGAAGAGAATATGAATCAGAAGCCTATTTGTTACGTGAGCAAGGTTTTACAAGGTGCAGAGCAGAATTACCCATTAGCAGAAAAGGCTGCATTTGCCCTGGTTTACACAGCTCGTAAGTTGAGGGCTTATTTCCAATCACATCGGATCGTCGTCTATACCGATTTGCCATTGAGAAAAATACTCCAGAAACCTAAACTCTCTGGTCGACTTATTGGGTGGAGTGTCGAGCTGAGTGAATACGACCTCAAATTTCAGCCACGTACAACCATAAAGGGCCAGGCCATCGCGGACTTTCTGGTAGAATGCATTTCAGCAACTAAAGAAGAAAAAGCACCTGAGCACCCAGTCTGGGTTTTGTATGTGGATGGAGCTGCTAGCATTGAAGGATCGGGTGCTGGGGCTGTGTTAGTGGGCCCAGATGGCTTTAAGTCTGAGCACGCACTGAGGTTTAAATTTCAAACAACTAATAACGCTGCAGAATATGAGGCCCTCGTTTACAGACTAAAGCTGGCGTCCGAGCTGAGGGTACAAAGCATTCAAGTGTTCAGCGACTCTCAGCTCGTCGTGGGCCAGGTAAATGGCAGTTGTGACATCAGGGATCCCCAGCTCGGTCGTTATGTCTCTGTGGTCAATAGATTAAATCAGCATTTGTTCATTTCCAAATTGATAAAATACCGAGAGCGAATAACCACCGAGCTGACGAGTTGTCAAAGCTGGCCTCTTTGCAAGACCTTAACCCTCAGAGATCGACAATTGTCGAGATACTCAACGCGCCGAGCTACACTGATTCCGGAGTCGAATGTCAGTTGCTGAGCACAGATCCCTCCGCACCGAGCTGGACCACCCCGCTGATAAAATATCTGCAAAGTGGTGAGCTACCTGAAGACCAGTCCGCTGCAAAATTGGTTAAACACAGGGCGGCACATTTCACTTTGTTAGATAACTAGCTCTACAAGCGAGCAGCCTCAATGCCCCTATTACGCTGCCTTACTCCTTATGAAGCTGAGTACGCTATGAGGGAATTTCACGAAGGAGTATGTGGCACACATATAGGCGGTAGGACTTTAGCTCGGAAACTCCTGAGGCATGGGTATTACTGGCCAACCATGGTTGAGGACGCGCAGAGCTATGTCAAAAAGTGCCCGACCTGCCAGTTCAACGCTGATGATATTCACATGCCAGGGGAAATGCT